CACTTTTTTTGTAGGGGGGGGGGACCCCCCCCCCCCCTCAAGCATATAAGCATAAGAAGAACATGCAAACTCCTTGCAAATAGTGTTCTGACCAGGATTCGAAACTAGGCCCGCCAACCACTGAGCCACTATGGAATCTATGTCAAGTTTTTATGCCATTTTCATTTAAAGTTAAGAAGATTTCCCATCACAAGATTTAAACCCTTCGTGACTTCCGTTCATCGATCCCCTCCCCGTTCTATGGGACCGAGAGCGATGCAGATTGCATCACTTCCGGTCGCTGGGCTGCCAGTTCTGGGGTCCTGCAGCCCAGCTATAAGCTATTGAAGTGCGATCTGCACTTCAATAGCTTATTTCCAGTGTAAAGGTGACACTGGGGGTCTTTTGGACCCCCAGCATCACCTTAAAGAGTACCTGTCACCACCATCTGCTATCACATGGGGGGGCTTGCAAGCCCCCCTATGTGATAGCAGTCAAAGTAAAGTAAAAAAAAAGAAAAGTTTTTTAAATTAAAATAAATCTAATAATAATTTAAAAAAAATTAAAAGTCCCCCGCCCCCGTGAGCCACGTAAACACGCGTCGGGTGCGGCTACGTATGAAAACGACGAACGCGCTACACATGTTGGGTATCGCCGCGCACGCCGGAGTGAGAGCAATAATTCTAGGTCCATTATTTTGGGGTATCTATAAATTGATTACCTGTGGGGGCTTTTAAAGCGTCTTCTATGGACTTTTTGGGGTACTGCAGTTTTTCGCCGTTTCACGGACGCACGCAATTTGTAACCTGGGCATGTTGGGTATCGTTTTACTCGTTGTAACTTCATCTTTTATATTTCATTTAAAAATTGGTATTTTGTTGTGTTTTTGGCATTTAATTAAATTTTTCACTAAATGTTGGGGTTTAATAAGGAGTTGCGCTAATATTGCGCAACATAAAAATTAGGAGATCCTGTTAATTCATTCAGTCCATTGCATCCACATGCATGGAATAGTACCTGGTGTATCCGTTTCACCTGCCCACTGATTGAGTAGTCATCTAAAGGTGAGCGTGTGGTTCCCTCATGACCAGGTAGATCCACGCAAATCAGATGTATGTTCTTAGGAAGAAACTGCAAATAAACAGCAGTTATAAACTGGTTATATTCACAGGAAAGCCGGTGTGATTTACTCCACATTTTTATAATAAACCTTCACTCTACTAAAGACCCAAAAAGAACACAAAAATGTAAAGACCATCCTCAGGATACTTTCCACCCCCTTCTGATTGCTAGATGAGAAGAAAAAAAACAGTCGCAATGCCCATTTTACTTACCTAAAGCCACGATCATGTGCCACCAAGGTCCCAAGTGTTCTCTCTTACTTTGTTTACCCCTTGCAGGGTCCTTCTATGAGTGTTTATGTCACTTCCTGCGTGACGTGGACATTTCCAATTGGCTGTCCAGCGGTGGGGTCCTCTCAGGATCCAATGTCATGTAAGGTTATGGTAGGGGACCCGCAGTCTTGGGTGTATCTGCAGTGCTATATTGTTACAGTTTATTTGGATTGAGGGCCCCTTTGTAGTGTCTGTATAAATGCACTTAGTTGAGCATTACTTGCTTCAACCGATAAGAAACAAATGTATTTGTTATGGGTTAGAGCAGCCTTTCTCAACCAGGGTTCCTTCTTGCTTCTGTGCCTCGAAATTTTCACACATTGCCCTGCCTTTCCGTGGTACAGGCAGGCTGGCTGCTAGCACCTGGCAAGGAATGACGTTAATCCAGAGAGGGTAGGATCCATTCAGAAAATAGAAGTTCGCCTCCCGCTCTATGCCATACTGGCTCCTGATGTGATGGTAGGACTCTGATGTCAAGGGGGCTCCTGATATAAAGGGGGGGACTCCAATGTGCAAGGAGGCTTCTGATGTAAAGGGGAACTCTGATGAAAAAGGGGGTCTCCGCTCCTGATGTGAAGGCCAAATTTGCGATGTGAAGGGGGGGCACCTAGTATGAGGGAATGATGGGAAAGGGGGGGAATCTGATGTGATGGGGAACCCCACTTTTTTTTCAAGTGGGGCTTCCCTTAAAATCCATACTAGCCACCTATTCAAGATAAGGATCTGGTATGGATTTTAGAGGGACTATATTTTTTACATTTTAGACTGGGGTGCCTCGAGATTTTGTTTACGCCTAAAGGGTGCCATGACTGAAACACTGGGTTAGAGGGAGGAGGAAGGGGTGGGATGGAGACAAAATGATCCTGGAATATAAAATGTAAATTTAAAACTGACACAAACATTTAAAAGCACAAATCTGGAGAGACTTTTGTACAGAAACTACAAAGGTGAACTCAATCCACATAAACAGAAAAATAAACTGTAACAATAAATTCAAATGTGATAAAATAATAAGCAATAGGTTAACGTAAGTAAGCCTGCGTCCAGAGTAGGGTTATTAAGCGGCTGTAACAAGTATTATAAAGAAGTCATATGCTCATATGGAAAGAAGACTCTAGGAGATGTTACAACATGCCTGAAGGACCTTTCATTTCCCCTATACGCCTGAACAGGGACTTTTTAAATGGGCAAAGCTCTGATACTTGAGTGTAATGTCAGAGCTAGGCCCCTCCCTCACACACCGTACACACACAGTCCTATTGGCCTGCCACTATAACGGGCTTCCTCACTGGTCAATAGAAAAGCGTGGGAGGCAGGAAAGGGCTGGCCATCGCCGTCACTATCAGGAAGTGCTGAAACTTTGCAGTCACCTGCACTTTAAACCTGCTAGGCACCAAATAAATAAAGAAATTGCTACATGTTTCTATAATAAGCCTTAGGATTCCTCTCCACAACCCGCACCCCCTTTCCACCTACAGTTCTCTTGCTGAATTTATCAGCAAATGTTCAGAGTGGAAATGAGGAAAAATGAAAACAAAATTATCACTGTTTGCTCATTTTCAGGATTGGTGCTGCCCTAGGCACTGGCCTGCATGCACCATTATGATGACAGGTCCACACTTATTCTGTATCTTGTACATCAGGTTTTACAAATTCCCTCACTTGCAATGTAAAAGCAAATAAATATGACAATAAATAAGGCTGTCTCCTCTCACCTTGGCTATAGCCAGCCACATGTCCTTATGGGCGGAGAATCCGTGTAACATAAGGATGGATGGTTTGGGTCCCGGTCTACCTCGGCTTGTGTAGCAGAATCTGTAGTTTCCATAGTTGGCATATTTTACTTGCATCCCCAAGACCCTGCGCCAGTACCTGAAACATAGACCCAAGGTCAATGCTGGAAATCACAATTACACATATTAATTCAATCAAATCAGCTTGCAGGGCTGAGGTATAATGATATGCAGGTCATGTCAAACCATCTTCTGGAGGGCACATTCACACCACATCCAGATCATCTCCAGACCAGATTGTTTCCGGAACCAAAATACATCCTAATGTATCCCTATGTTATTTCTGGCCTCTGTTCACACCAGTGCAGACCAGACCAGAAAAATACTGCTCGTCTCATTTTGTCTGGTCGGGAATGCACACATAGAAATGCATAAAAAATGCATACAAACACATGCAAATGCACTGGAACGCACCTGAAAACCCATTTTAAGCTAAAACAAAAAGGCACAAAAAAACCCCGAACTGCGGAACATAGAGAAATTGCTGAAAAACGTTGCAAAAACCATCCCCATGCAGTGGGTCTACCCATTCACTGCAAGGGTTAACTAATTTTTGTCTAGGGGGATTCTTTAAAGCAATTACCTGATCCCTGTTGGCTTCAAGACCGGTGCCTGCAGCCTCTTCCCCTCTCCTCTCCAGTGGTTCGTGGCCTGCTGATATCACGTGTAATGCAGGGTCCATAGCCCTGCATTAGACATGAGGACACAGAGAAACATTCCAAAGCCGGAGCGGAGGGGGGAGTGGTGAGCGCTGACTGCCAGGGGAAAGGGGATCAGGGAAGTAAAACTGCTTTAAAGAATCCCCCTAGACAAAAATGAGCAGTTAATCCTTGCAGTGCAGGGGTAGCCCCACTGCAAGGGGAGGCTTTTTCTGTATTCGGAGAGAGGCTTTAAATAAACACTTATTTGGAGAATAAATAAGGGGAAGACCACCCGGCGGTTTTATGGTTGGAACCCCTTGGAGGTTTGTCCCAGAGTGATGGGCATAGCAATGGACACAACATATGCCCAAACTTTCACAGACAGAAATAAGAACAGTGAGCAGGATCATCCGTTTTAAGAGGTGCAGTTTGGCCAAGTGTTTTTTCATGCAGACTGAGTTTGGGGGTTACAGTACTTTTAATGCAAGATAAAAACATCAGGGTGATAATTCAGGTGTAAAATTACAATTTCTAGGTGAACTTAGGAAGTTTAAAGTGGACCAAAACCCAATAACTGATGATTTGCTGTTATAGGGAACCTTGAGAAATGGTAATTGTGCCTGAACGGTACCCTGAAAATGTTACCTTTTGTCTGGAATTCCTCCTGAAGTAAATAGCAATGCACTTCATGGTATGGGAATGTGCCTAGGCACTCCTGTACCTACAGCTTCATAGGTGTAGATCTGCAGTGTGAGATCTAGGGCACTGCTGATGGCTAGCCTCGGGAGATTTGGTGAGGTCACTATTGTGCTGCTCACTGTTGTCCTTGCTGGAGGTTCTGACATAAGAAAGCAAAGCCCTACCTCTACCCAGATGGCTGCCTCCAAATAGAGACACAGTGCAGAACAAAGCATGGTAAGTCAGTAATGGAGAAAAGATAATCTGCAAGGATACCACTAGGAATACTGGTGAGTAGACCAGTTCCCCTTTAAGGGTTTAGTTAAAGTAAGACTTAGGATCAGGGTACAGGGTTTAAGTTTAAAGAGAACCAGTCACCAACGAGCACTGTAACAATCAGAATCACCACAATATCAGTCCTGCATCACACTGTGTACATTTCCATCGCACATTCAATAGAGCAGCTATTTTAATCAGAACCTTACCAATAATAGATCTTGATGAGAGCAGCGGGCCACAGGAAGAAGGAAGTCACAAAAGCCAAAATCGGGATCAGCAAAGTACCTCCAGCTATTAGGAACATATTCAGTACGTCCAGGTCCATGATCCCGGTCAGACCTTGTGAGGAAAGACAGGAAACAGAATATAGTGTAAAACACAATGCAGCTGTACAACACTTCATAGAACCCCCTATATACCTACATACATAGCCTCAGCACAGGTCTCTGTAATCCTGTACGTGTACGCCATAGGCATGGTATAATGGGAAGACAGAGAGTGATATTTATCAAAATTGGGGCAGGCAGAATCTGGAGCACTTGCCCACTGCAACCAATCAGCTTCTCTCTTAAGTTTGTTCAGTTAAGCTTTAAAAATGAAAGAAAAATGCTAATTGGTTGCTATGGGCAACTGCTCTAGTTTTGATCAATTCCCCCCAAAGTGTTCAATAGGACAGAAGAATCATCAAAGGGTATCTATGGTCAACAACTAAAAATAAATCTGTATTTCTATATTGAATTTCCCACTCCTAATAACCATATCAATCTAGAACTTTGTAAACGTATTGTCCATAGGATGTACCGTATTTTGCGGTCCATAAGACGCACCGGACCATAGGACGCAGGGAGGTCCGGCGCGCCTTATGGAGCACTCGACAGACTGTAGCTTCTGACACAGCTTCTATGGCAGAAGCTGTGACAGAAGCTGCAGTTAGTGACCGCTGAGACAGGTGGCGCTGTGATTACAGCGCCACAGTCTCAGTGATCACACAGAGCAGACGAAGAAAGTCCGTTCTTCGTCTGCTCTATGGTGATCTCGATCGTCGCCGCTGCTCGGTTTTAATACGAGTGATCTCATTAGATCACTCGTATTGAACGAGCAGTGGCTCCTGTTGCTGAACTTGATCGCCGCCGCCGCTGCTCGGCTTTAATACGAGTGATCTCATTAGATCACTCGTATTAAACGAGCAGTGGCTCCTACTACTCGCCCGGCGCCTGAAACTGCATGTCTCAGGCGTCGAAATTCGCTCCATAAGACGCAGGCACATTTTCCCCCTCCTTTTGGGGGGTAAAAAGTGCGTCTTATGGAGCGAAAAATACGGTACTTCCTCAATGCACTGACACAATAGCACTCAGCCCTGTGTCACAACTCTCACAGAGCCTGCCTTCTGAACAATGCAACGTTATCATTGCTTGCTGGAAGCAATGCATGATGGGATATGCAGTCTTGAGAAATGGAGATTGCATCACATCAAGCAGCAGGAAAAGAGACACAGAGCACACTGGGAATCCAGGGAGTTGGTGAAAGTGATGGGCAGATGGAAGGCATCACAGCCTACAGAAAGGTGAATTTTTTTCACGTAAGCTTTGATTGCATTATCAAAAACAATTATATAACAGTATTCCTATTACAGTGCTGATGTTATAACAGGATAGCGTATGCTGGGACTTTACAGATCCTTTAACAACTAATTTTCAGAGCAATCATCCAGCATTGAAGCAGAGCTCCAGACAAACATGTTATTAATAAAATGTGCTATGTAACAAATTGGTATCTCCCATGAGGCGTATGCCACCTCCAGGATCACTGCCGTCTCTTTATTATTTTACAGATTCATTGATGCTGGATAGCGTACCTCTCATTATCCTTCTGGCACTGTGACTATGAGAGTTGTGGATAAATACTTATACTTGTTTCACTCCTTACCGAAAGTCCCTTGTAATGGGGGGTGCTCGCAGTGACTGCTGATGGCGCCGCAAATATCAGCAAATGTTAGAAAGGTCACCAGCACACCCCCAGTCCTTTCATGATAGCAAAAGCTTCATTTATTGAAGTTCTTTGTCATATGAACAAGCGCTTTCTGGACCACACAGGGTCCCTTCATCAGGCTTTAGCATTGACTTTAGCTAAAGCCTGATGAAGGGACCCTGTGTGGTCCAGAAAGCGCTTGTTCATATGACAAAGAACTTCAATAAATGAAGCTTTTGCTATCCTAAAAGGACTGGTGTGCTGGTGACATTTCTAACATTTGTTAATTTTATGAGAGTTGTGGCTCTCCTAAGTTGTATTGTCCTTTATCCGCCACTCCTTTTCCACTCTACTTTATCCTCTCCTGTTATCCATTCACAGAATACAAGGCATTTTGTGTTTACGGAGCAATCAGCAGTAGAAAGTCCTCCATGTCAACCTCCAGCATTGTAGCAGATAGCTGTACAGAGCTTTCAACAATACTATGCATTTCTCCAAAAAGGGTGCACACGTCGGGTATAGTATTATGCTGTATCATTAATCCATGCACTGAAAGGACCTGGGTGTAATCAGTGAACTGCTGCATGCTCCAGTGCTCTTGATCACATTCCCATTAAGGGTAAATTACATGAGGTGACTTTAATCTTGACACTGAGATTTAACCATTTACTGGAAGTCATCTCATCAGGTCAGAGATTTAGTAGCTTAATCGTCATGCTAAAATCACTAGTAATTATTTGCAGGGATTGATTGAGTGACTGTTTGCTAGCAACTGATTGTGCAGCAATTGGAAAACATGGCTCCCTAAGTTGGGGTCTGTTCACACATAGTGTGGTGACCTGTGCTGTGTCACACCAGATCACCAGAGGTCACTGCTAGGACACATAGACAGCAATTGTTTTCTATGTGTCCCATTTACACCACAACAGGGTGCTGCGATAAAATGCGGACTGAGCTGCCGTGCGGGGACCTGGATGGAGTGTTCACATTGTACACTGCACATAAAGTTAAAAAGAGAAAAAAAATGTAAACAGTGACAGCTCTTATCTGTTGAAATGAAGCGCTTCAGCGGTATTGTTAGTGTGAATGGGCCCTTAGACAAGTAACTCGAAGTATTGATCAGCCTCACACCACTTCAATCTTGATCGCTGCAAAATGCTACATGTTTGGCCATACACGCTATCAATTTCTCTCATTCAGCCCCACGGGACCAACACCGACGCCTTGAGTTTTGGCTGAATCAGCATGAATCAGATCCGTAACAAAAATAAAAAATCTGCATCTGAATACACACATTTTGAACACGTATGTAGATGTGTGAAATCATACACAAGGAAATAAAAAACAATGCATTGAAAACAGAACAAGAGGAATGGAACAAGAATTGTAGACACTTAAATCAATATGTGTCTAAACGCATCTAAACATGCATTCTGCTGATCATTTACGCCAAAACGTTTTGGCTAGAAAAAAACATGCGTATATGATCAGTAAACGTCTTGTGATCGTGTGCATGTAGCCTTAAGGTGCCCATAGACTGTTCGAATTTCAGCTGAAATTCGCAGTGTGCGGTGCTGTAGGCACCCTTTCGATCGGCATCCCTCGATCAGAAAGTCTTTGAGCCTCCCTTTAATTCCTGTCGCATAGACACAGAAACAGGAAATCTCTGAAAAGTAAGGGGAATCATTAGTCATTAGTGATTTTCGGGGGCTTGGTGAGAACCCATTGTGAACTCAGCCCCCAACTGGCACACCTGTCTTTCCCCCCTTCCCCAACGTGACCCAATGAGATGCTGCCCGAGGCAACCGCTTTAAGCTGCCTCATCATAAGGAAACCCGTGCAAAACTGTGACTGACACCCCCCTCCTGTCCTAATTCTTTGTGGCCAGGACATTCCCTGCTCTGCAGCTACACGTCACAAAGGGCTAGGAAATGCACCCGCCGCAACTGACTGGGCAGGGAAGGGGGTGTCAGTTAAATTTTTGCGCTGTCTTGGGTGTTCTGTCGAGGTGGCAATCTTCTCCAGTTGCCGTAGGTGCGCCTGTGTGGCTTCAAAATTCTCATCGAGTTCTCCAACTCCCCTCTGTGCTTGTGGCATCGGATGCCCGCGCAGGCGCACTGCCGCAGATTGTAGAGCCTGATACTTCTCTTAGGTGGCTGTGCAGGTGCAGTGACAGGAGTTGGAGGTCTCGATGAGTTGGGGAATTCAATAGAAGACCGACACCAAGCCTCATATATCACTAGTTGTCACTGCAAAAAGTATCCCCACTGGCAAATCTCCTATCTCTTCCTGTTGTGGTGACAACCCAACATTTTGGCTTTAGCCTCACTTTCAGTCCTGGCGACAATTACCTCTGGGACAAATAGAAACAGTAAATGTCCCCAGTGGGGGGGATACACAATAAAAAAATAACAAAAAATACCAGTCCTTATCCTGCAAAAACTAGAAAAATTGTTTTAGTAACACTTTTCATATGGCAGTTATATGAATGTAAAAATGATTTCTACATTGTTTCACAGTTTCAAGGACACAATCCCTACAATATAATCCTATACATACGACAGCGATAATACATAACCACCCCGGTATTCAACGCAGCCCCATAACTAATATCCCATCGTTACTATACAGCAGGGGTAGGCAACCTCAACAGGCTGGCTGTGGTGAAACTACAAGTCCCATAATGCACTTCAAGACTCTGACAGTCACAGTCATGATTCCCAGAGGGAGAGGCATCTTGGGATTTGTAGTTCCACAACAGCTGGAGTGTCGAGCTTGCCTACCTAATCTACCTCAGCTATAGAGAGTCACTAATAAGAATCTAAGACAGCCAATTAGTAAATAATAAGGTCACTGGCGCCCATCACACTGTGTGTGACCCGTCTGCTGTTTCTGTGTGTATAGATCTTGCCGCAGTCAGTCTGCTTCTGTCAGCAGTTTTCTCCTTAGAATCAGCAATATTCAGCACATCTCATACTCCTCCGATGTAAGTCAAGCATACAGCAATCGTCTGCTCTTCCAGAATATCCCCTCCGGGCCTCCGTATACCGTCCGCACTGGAAGCGCTCAGCACAGGACAATGCCGTGCCGCGATGGTTCACTCTATGACCTCGCACACACTGAACCACCTTTGCTCATGGCATAACTGATAGTGAATGATGCTGACGAGATAAACTTAATGGCCTGAGAATGTACTGTATCATTGTTAAAGATGAACTCAGTCTGCACCGGCTCCTCTCCTGGACTGATATTGCTTCCTCTGATTTCACTGCACGCTCTGATCTTTTCACAATGTGCATTAGAAGCTGCAGCATGTCCCATAGAGCCTGCCTCATTTCTTGGCTGGAGGACATCCAGCATCATCTAGCACT